AGCTAATATTCATGTTTCGGTAAGTGGTAAAATCTCCTTAATAGACTTTGGATTATCGATTTTCCCATGTACAGAAAAATGTAAAAGCAGAGATTTTGAGGCATTGGATGAAACCTTCAAAGTATATTTACGCAATAGCCAAGATTGTAATCAAGATTATCCAGGCAGTCAAGAAGGAGATACGCTTTCTGATAAAAGAGTTACAAAAGGCAATAATGGAGTAAGTTCTTTTGATGGTGTAGTCTCTGAAGAAACAAGCTCTCAAAGTACAGGATTTATAACGGAAGATTTTATCTCGGAAGGGGCGATGATAAATAACGGATCCTAATATTATACCGATTCACACGTATTGTATTATTTCGTTCAAAAGAATTATCGAAAACTTCAGAAAGTTAATGTACTTTCAGGTTTGTTTCATCTACATGAAAGGAAGTATTAGCATAGTAATTTTATCAGGAACGGAATACAAAATGCGGTCTCTTAAAAGATTGTAACCCGAAGTTTAATGGCTACTAAGTTTAATACTTCCCTTACGTAGCCGCAAACTTGTGCGAGTTCTGTACTAAAGTCTCATATAACTTCCAATTTTTTTGCAGTTTGACTTACAGTCCAATAACTGACGATCAGCCAATCTCCGAAGAATTTATAACTTGAATAATGGAAGAAAATATGCCGACACTTAAAATTGACATTTAATAATACTCAATCGACCAAGTCATGAGAAATATTCAGTAACATTGCGGTATAATACAGAAGCAGATATCTCTGATTATTCCTTTTTCCACATGATATACCATTAAATAACTAGATCTGGGAGATATTTTGCAGAAATGCAAATAAACTTCTGAAAGCTAAGATAACTTTGGAATGATATACGACCTCGCGGATGGCTTGATGATCATCAATTTATCATGAAATACATATTTACGACTAAATGAATGAGATCTAAACAAAGAAACTTTCTTCATAGAAATTTAACGAGTTTTCCTTGGCCCATAATTTGACATTTTGTACCAAGCCCTTTGGACCGGCGGATACGACCCAAATCTTACTCAAATCAATATTCTCATTAAGAACTTGATTCTTTGGTAAATCTTTACAGCATACAGTATGATCACCATCTTCTATTGGTCCACTACATTGAGTGAAACCACCACTAGTGCACCAATTTAAATATTTGTAGTTCAACTTTGGTCTGCCCTTGTAAATTTTGTTCTCAATGTTAATCTTGTTAACAGTTTCCATAAATTGTTGTCTCTGAAAAGCTGGTGTTTCACTGAAATCAGAGTCTGGAATGAACGGTTCGTTAAAACTCGATGCATGTCTTGAATGTGCAGGTGAATACATTCCATGAATACCGTTGCCCAATTCTTCAGTCATTGGATCCACTTCATCATCACCATAATCATCATCCTGCTCTTCTCTATTTTCATTCTCCTCTCCTGCGTCTTGGATTCCATTCTCATTAAAGGATCCACTATTAAATGCAAAATTCAAAGTCCTTTCATTTCTTGGACATTCTTCATCTTCCAGATCCTCTTCGTTGTCTACAGATATTTCGACATTCACATTTTCATCTCCTTGTTCCGAAGCGTTCGATTCTGCATCTTCTTCTCCAGGATTATCTTCGAGTCTAAAGGAAGACATTCGAGAGGAATGACTAAATTGAGAAAGCCTGCCAATTGATCCATATTTGCTCAATCTCATCGATTTGTCTTCAGTAGATGATCTTTCGTCACCAGTAACAAAGATTTCAAAATCGTCCCCATGAATAAAACCATCGAAATATCTCAATACAATAATATCTCTGAAGTCTCTTATAACCCACACAACTTTAGTTGGTATTCCATGATAATTCATAACTCTTATAATAGGCAAAGCGAAAGAAATTGCTGACCCTCCGATGACGATAAGAATTCGCTTTGCATGAACTTGTAATTTAGAAATGGAAAACTGATCATTGTCTTTGGTTGAGCTCAAAAACAATAAGTATGGATCATATGCACCTGAAATAAGATATTTATGATCATTTTGGATCCGAAATGTGGTTTTTCTCACGATTAACTTTTGATAGTTATCTTGAGGTAAAGATGCTAGTGTATATGGATGATAATTTGGAATGATTTGTCGATAAATTCTCATAATAATGGAAGGGTAGTATTCAGTAAGCCTGATATGGGCACCAGGCCCATTGGAAGATCTCTTAAGCAAATAATTTGGGAATTCAATTAATGATAAATTACCCGAAATGTCTGTGACTTTGACATCAAGACGTGAATGTGTAGCAATTGATAGCTTCAATCGGTAAAAGATTTGAGATGACAATATGATAACATTCAAAATTGTGAAATTGGTAATTTTTACTGGTCTAGCATGAAGTTGCAAGCAGAAGACAATAATCCAGGACCAAGTATAATGTTGAAAGTAAAAAATTCCGTAAAATCTTGCTCTAAATTTTTGTAGAGAAGTGATAGCTATGATAATGAAACCAGCTATCGCAACCCATCCGTATATGTTTTCTGTTTTAAATGCCTTGTTCCACGTATGGTTTTTTTGAAAGAATCCACAGTACAAAGCCATATGTGCAACAGACTGTAAGATTAAAAATCTAGATAACCATTTATGGATAGGAATTAGCATCAAGTATAATGTATATGGCAATGGCGATGGCCTCAAGCTTAAAAACATCACAGATGGCAAGCATACAGCTGCTATTTTGCCTAGTCGTTTGGCAAGAAATATCAAGTCTCCGTCGTTTAAATCTGAAAAGGATAAAAACATGAAAAGAACTGTCCAAAATGCAATTTGAGCCAAGGTATTGTAATAAAACAGAACCTTGAGAATAAATCCCTTTAATGCCAATGCCATTCTCGTCCTAGCACTATCCAGATCATTTCTATGAGCAACTCTATTCAATCGCAGAATGGTCCATTTGACTATAGTAACTTTCCTCGATGGGGAATATCCACGGACAACAAAGTACCTCAGAATAGGAACAAGTATCAATAGTACTATCATCAGCATTGCTGTCACATCTCCATACTTATTTGTGGTACTTTGTCTACGTTCTGTGTATTCTTTTGATTTCCCATTAGGATAATGAAAACTAAAGTCTTTAAACCAAGAGTTCGTGTTACTTCTTTCCATATTACTTGGTATAACAATGCAAGGCTCCCTAATATGGGATTATTTAAATAATACGTATAACTATTCTTTAAAGTATTACAACCGCCGAAATAGTGCCTTAATATAGATTGTTGATCCGATAGCCTAAGAGCGGCCCGGCACGAGGCATGAGCCACTCGATCTGATAAAATTTTAAGCCATCTTAGGTAATATAGTCTTAATTTATATACGATATAGACGGATATAACCAATGGAAAGATATGATATGGAAAAATATGGATGGCTATAGATGGATATGTATGCACTTTTGTTGGATCTAATATAAGTTTCTTATATTTCTGGATTTTTGCTTATTGTTTCTACCTCTATTCTCTAATAAACCAGAGCGAGTGGGAGGATTAGCATTCGTTACTTTATTACCATTTTTGAAAATGACGCCTTGTCTCGTAGGTTGCTGTCTATTCATGGCACTAGGCTTAGAGGGGATTTTAGGATTGGCAGAAGAACCCTTTGTCTTAGACACAAATCCTGACCTAGAGGGGTTGGGGTTCTTAGGCAAGAAGCTTGGAGCAGGCCTATGGTTTCTGTTATTCGTATTATTATTGTTATTGTTGTTGTTATTGCGGAATCCATTGGAGTTCCTATAGTGGTCTCTCCCATTGCTATTAAAGTCCTTGTTGCCAAATCGTCTATTAACATCCCAGTTGTTGTTAGTATTGGCACTTATAAAGTCTCTCTTGTTTTCGGGCATCTTTTTTGCACGGCCGCTGAGTCTATCATAATATATATTTCGAAGCGATTTGGGCAAGTTTGAGCCACTAAATGCACTTCCATTCTGATTCGGCACTCTGGAGGTTCTTGGTTCTTTACAATCATCTCCGTAATGTGTATTGTTGCCGCAGTTGTAACAGTACATGTTAGGTAACGTCTTATTTTCGTTATCGTATGCATCCAAGGTCAAATATGATCGCCATATTGTTGGACATGTATCATCTCCATGGCTGAATGTGTCACAAATTTTGCAATATTGTCTTTTTCTTTGCTTGTTTTTACAGTTGACAGCTATATGACCTTTGAGACCACATTTTGCACATACTAAAGTGGTTGGACACTGTGCCTCATAGTGATCACCTACAACACCGCATTTGTGGCAAACCACCGTTTTGCATTTTGCTCTTATGTGTCCTCTTTTATGACAGTTAGCACATAGAGGCCCTAGACTCTGCATCGCATTTATCGTTTTACCTGTCGATGGATCAGTAACACCAAAATATCGTCCTTCGCCCCTTAGTTCTATTAACTCATCTGCCACATCATTCACTTGATCGAACGAGAGAGACGTTATCCCATTTCCGTTCTTATTTTCTTTGTCTTCATTATTTTCCTTTTCTCGTACGCCGACCGATGAGGCTCTATCACTAATTATGTCTGCTGTGGAAGGATGCGGTGTCCCATCATCGGTTTCTGATATGTGATTTGGTTTAGCGTCTTCGATGATCTGTAATGTTTCTGACATAATAGCTACGTCATCAATCTCACTTATACTCCTAAAGCTCTAAAAACATAGGTGAAATAGAATTTTGATAGACCAAATTACTTAAAGGTCAAAAGAAAAGTGACACAAAAGTGATCATTGATGTATTAATATAAAAAGAAGTAATCAAAAACGATGCAGAAGTGGGACCAATTACCATTATTCATAGTCTATTGTTGTATTTAGTACCATATTCAGTTGGTTTTTTTTTTCCACTTTAATGAAAATTCATAGAGCGAGTTAAAAAGGCAATAAAAAAAAAAAAAAGGCACATTCAAATGCCTCTAGACTTGCAATATCAAAGCTCTGACCTGCTTCAAAGAAAGTTTCTCACAGCATGTGTCCCCACTTGGTCTTCGATAGTATCTCCCTCTCCAGAGACATTAATTGAAGTCTTCAAAAAATCTTGATGCGTCAAAGCTGCTAACAAGTAGCATGCACTAGCTAAGAGAAAGAATACCGCAACAACGATCAAACTAGTAGCCTGTACGGTTAACGAGAGCCACTGAATGGCACTCAATAAGAGATAGAACCCACATCTCGGCCAATTTTCATCGAAGTTGCTAATGAACTTGGTGAACTTGTCTGTGAGTGGACAGATCTTCAACAAAAATGGAATCTCCACGAAAACAACCACCAATCCCTCCACAATACATATAATTGAGAAAATTATAACCAAAGACGCATGAAAGATGTTAGCAATTCCCAAAGCGATCGCTAAAAATATTGTGAGGAGTCCAATCCATTGTCCATATAAAGAAAAGTTCTTTTTCTTAAAATCGGCTGAGAAGCCATTGAAGATGTTTCCAAGTATTCTCCGAAAGTTAAATGCCATTGTTTATAATTAAGCTGATTCAATTGAAGGCTTGATTGAAGTGGTCATAAATCTGTTTATGGATTTTTCTTGTTTTTTCTCTTTTAGTTAAACGTGTGAGTTGTGATGATAAGACACACAAAGTCATCTCCAGTATCAGAAGACTTCGAGGTCAAATTTTTTTTTTTTCATTCTATTTGAGTTAGAATTAGAGTTGAAATATCAGTTTAGATATAAACTATAGTGGAAGTTTATAGATGGGTCGAGAGACTATAATTGCATTAGTTGGGAAACCTTCAAGTGGGAAGTCTACGACTTTAAACTCGTTGACTGATGCCAATGCGAAGGTTGGAGCATTTCCTTTCACTACAATAGATCCTAATAAGGCTACGGGGTATTTAGAGGTAGATTGTGCATGCAGTAGGTTCGGCAAGGAAGAATTATGTCTGCCTACATACGGATATTGTAGGGACGGAAAGAGAGGAGTGCCGATTATGCTTTTAGATGTTGCAGGGTTAGTACCGAATGCTCATTTAGGCAGGGGATTGGGTAATAAGTTTCTTGGTGATTTGACAGAAGCCGATTGTTTGATACATATAGTTGATGTTAGTGGCACAACTGATGCAGAGGGAAAGGCTACGAGAGGCTATGATCCGCTTCATGATATAGAGTGGCTACAGGACGAGATTTTCAGATGGATCTTGGGTAACTTGACAGAAAGATGGGGATCTATCGTCAGAAGACATACAGCTACGAAATCCACAACATTAGAGACGCTTAGACAGCAGCTAGGTGGATATTCTGCAAATAAGCAGTTAATTGGCAAGGCTTTAGATTTGCTCCCTGGTTTACCTCCTTTACAGGATTGGAATAATGAAACTATAGAAAAAGTAGTCTACACTTTTATGACGGTCAAATTTCCCACTGTGCTAGCACTCAATAAGATGGATCATCCTGACTCGGACAAAAATGTTTCTAAGATTATATTGAAACATCCTAATCTGAAATGCGTCTTGACCTCATCAATTACTGAGGTATTTTTAAGAAAACTAGCAAATCAAAATTACATTAAATACGATCTGGGTACTGAATTTATTGATACTATTGATGATTTGGGTCCAGGTTCTGGATTAAAGCCGCTTGATGAAAAGATGAAAATTCGTATCGAGAATGTAAGAGACTTGGTTCTCTATAGATTTGGATCTACGGGAGTGGTCAAACTATTGCAGGCAGCAGCTGATCTTTTAGACTTGGTACCTGTTTATCCAGTCAGGAACATTCATAATTTCACAGGAAGTACAGGAGACAGTGTCTTCAAAGACTGTGTTCTCGTTAAAAGGGGTACACCCGTCATTACTGTGGCTAGGAGGATTATGGGTGACGTGACTATTGCAGCAATAGAGGGGCTCAATGGTATGAGAATAGGTGAAGAAGACATTGTGGATGTCGGGAAGAATGATATTCTTAGCTTCAAGCTTGTCCCTGGAGGTAATAAGTAGACTTTTGTAGTATTTGTAAATAAACTATCGCATAGAACAGGAACAAACGAAAATCACTATATAAAGATTTTCAGTGAAGTCCGATATACGGAAAGCCGTATCTTAAATGAAAAGTATATTCTACATAAACATAAGTAAAAGCTTTCTTGCTGACAATGTCACAATCCTCAACTAACGTAGATAAGGAGGTGCCTACAAGTGGTAGTGGCTCGATAGGAGCCACTATAAAAACTACTAAGTTGACAGCTGATCAAATAGATAAGTTGAGTAAGATTATTGATGCAATTCCTGACATATTATCGAAGACAGATAATCCAGAATACGACGAAATCTATGGATATAGAATTAACGTTGAATCGAAAGACCACGTTGTTCCTAATACACGGAATGAGATTTTGTTGAAGTTTTTAATTGCCAATAACTACGACGTTGATGTGACTAAGGAAAAGTTGATAAAAACATTGAATTGGAGGAATAGTTTTCAGCCATTGTCAGCAGCGTTTGAAGAAGAGTTTGATTCAATTTTCGAAGCATTGGGTGCTATTACAGAATCAAGCAATGGCAAACCTAATTTGAAAGTTGTTACGTGGAATCTTTACGGAGACTTGAAGGATCCAAAAAAGCTCTTTGAGAAGTATGACTCAGAGGACAAAACAAGCAAGGAGGGAACACCTTTTCTTAGATGGAGAGTCGGTTTAATGGAGAGAGCGCTTACGCTAGTTGATTTCAATGATCCTTCTAATCATAAGATCGCTCAAGTTCACGACTATAATAATGCGTCTATGTTCAGAATGGATCCAGGAATGAAGGCTACAACGAAGCAAATTATATCTTTGTTCGCAGAAAGCTATCCAGAATTGCTTTCTTCCAAGTTCTTCATCAATGTCCCTTCATTGATGAGCTGGGCTTACGCTTTTCTTAAGCTATTTATCAATGCTGAGACTTATAAAAAGTTTCACTTCATGAATAATGGTGACTTGTCTGAATGGTTCGGAAAGTCTGATCTCCCTTCCGAGTATAACGGTAATGTCAAGAACGACAAAGTCTCTCTGCTTCAGGCCTTGAATGAATCTTGTAAGCCTAAGATAAAGATACCAGAATACGGAAAGGTTTTACTTGAGAGAACAAGTAAAAGCAAAGAGACGGATGAACCACCGACTAACTAAATCTCCTCAACCTAATGAAACTCTGGATGCTACTAGAATGAAATATTCTCCTCAAACGGAGTCTATTAGATTGCATGAGTTATGCTGATAGACCGAGACTTCTAATAATTATTTACTCTACTTCAAGTATATGAATAATGGGCAATCTAATATTGCAGAAAATCGTCAACCATAGTCTCTTATACTACCTTTAACTGTTTGTGAGCCTTCAAGCTAGCAAATAGAGGTCTCACTGTGACTGTTTGATCCACTATAAATCCTAGCTATCTTTTATCCTTTTTGTGTCACTTAATATAATATATTGATTTGAGTTTAAGTAAATATATAAACAGATATATATATATTTATATATCCAGACTACTAAACTGTATATTGTTTAACAAGTTAGTTGTGCCACTTTCGTCTTAGCTAATAGAAATATTGTGCTAGTGGAGCTAGTTGTGGAAAGTTTTACTTATGTCCTCACATCATGGTCAGGATCATTACCTGATCTTGCAAGTTCCCAAAACGGCTTCCAGCGACGATATCAAAAAAGCTTACAAGAAATTATGTTTGAAGTATCATCCAGATAAGACATCAGACAAGACTCATCATGACCTTTTCATCAAGATTCGGGAGGCATATGAAATTTTGAAAACATCAGATACCAAAAGAGCATATGACAAACAGCATGGATTCAACAAGTCAAAATCCTTCTCATTCAACACGACTACTTCGGAAACTAAAACGTCAACATACAGTTCATTTTCATCTCGACAACCAGGCTACTATAATTTTTATCAACAGTTTTATACAAGACAAGGTGACCCACGGTCGCAGATGGCAGACGATATTAGAGTAAAGAAGGAGCGAGAAAATGACAAGATTAACAAAAAGAGAGAAGAGGAGAAGTTCGTGAAAATGAGGAAAGAGATATTGAGGAAAGAACGTGAAGAGTTGGCTAGAAGAGATGAGGAAAGAAAAAGGAGAGAGGAATTAAGGGCTCGACAGCAAGGAAAAACAGAAGAGGAATTGTACAAACAGAAAAAGAGGGAATATCTTCAAAGGCAGAGAGAAGAATATCTCAATAAACCAGCACATTCTGACCCCTTGGAGCACCAGTTTCGTAACTTCGACACTGACCAACGAAAAGAGCATAAGGAGCCGAAAGAAAATCATGAACGTAACAATAATTCAGACACTGGTCGACCTTCGTCTACTTCAAATGAATACATGAAACATGGCCACATGCCGTCGGACCCCATAGTCTTAGAAGAAGATAAGAAAAGTGTTGATAGTGAGGGTTCGAAAAGGACTCCTGAGTCGACAGACTCTAATACAGCCTCGGACAATCATTTGAAAGCTTTTACTGAAGTTCCCAAAAAAAATGGCGGTTTAAATCGAGATAACATATCAGCATTCAAGCCTGACAGTAATGGAAAGGAACCTCCGAATAAGGGTTCTGATAAGACGACTAAGCAAAAAGAGCCTCTAGCATCATCCAAATATTATGATGACTTGATGAATCAGGATATGAGGACACGACCAAGACAAGAGCCCTCTAGGATTAGAAATAGGCGGTCGCTATCGCCATCTAAATTATCAAATCGGATCCCTACAAGCTATGTTCGTGAAGACAAGAGTTTTATGAAAGAGAAAGATCAAAGTTCAGCTAAACGACCGAAAAAAAACCTGAGTGCTTTTAAATTTGATGAGCTTCGAAACAACCTTGGGTCCAGCATCGCCGAAGTTGATTTTTCTGACATGTTTGAAAGTCTTCCGTCTAAATCAAGAAAGCTAAGTGAAGATAGAACAACTTCTAAGAATAAACGACCAAAAATATTGGAGTTTAGTGATGGAACATCCAAGGCTGAAACTCTTCACACACCAATCAATAAGAGATTTGTTAAAGGTCATGCGGCTCCTCTGGGTCGTCAAACTGTCAAAACTGATATTACAATATTTGATTTGCATGCTTCTCCTGTCATACACTCCTATACGCCTCCCGAACCTCCAAATATCATATTGGGTGCAAGCGTCAGCGATGTTGACTGGAGAAAATATGTGACTTCGGTCCAGAAATATGAAAAGGAATTTTTAAATTATAAAAAGCTCGTCTTACAGTATCAATTGGAGCGCTATGGGAAGGATGAAGAGTACTACGATTCAATAAATAGCGATCTGAAAGCATTTGGAGTTTATCAAGATTGCTTACAAAGGGACATAGATGTTCTTCAAAATTACAATATTCAACTTCGAATTTTTGCTGACACCATGAACATTTACAAACAAAATTGCAGTTTTAGGAGCCTGACTGAAGCCAAAGGCTTTTAATTGTGTAATATATAGCATACTTTCAATAGAATCGACTAAACCCCGGCTTTGGATTAACTTGTAATCTCGAAATACCTTTGTGGTATCAAGAACGCGTTTAAAGACACCGTAAACTTTTCATAATATCAAAACTTCTTTATAACGAAGCAAACAAGGCACTTAAAATGAATAGAAATCGTCAATTGCTTTTGCTTGTGGGCTTGATATTCCATTCGTTCTATATATGGTCGATCTTTGACATATACTTTGTGCTGCCCTTGGTTCATGGTATGGACAATCACAGATCAACAAATTCACCACCTGCGAAAAGGCTATTTTTGATTGTGGGGGATGGGTTGAGAGCAGACAAGGCTTTCAAGAAGCTTAAGCATCCAAGCACTGGAGAAGAGAAGTATTTGGCACCTTATCTTAGAAATCTAGTTTTAAACGAAGCCAGCTGGGGTATTTCTAATACTAGAATGCCAACTGAGTCAAGACCAGGCCACGTTGCGATGATTGCTGGTTTCTACGAAGATGTATCTGCTGTTACAAAGGGATGGAAGACTAATCCCGTAGACTTTGACTCATTTTTCAATCAGTCTACCCATACATATTCTTTCGGATCTCCTGATATCTTGCCGATGTTCGCTTATGGCGATGGTGTTGTTCCAGGCAGAATTGATGTTTGCATGTATGGCCATGAATTCGAAGATTTCACACAAAGCTCCATCGAACTAGATGCGTTTGTTTTCAAACACTTTGACGATCTTATGCTTAATCTGACCGCTAATGAAACACTTAAGAATGAACTCTTTCAAGACGGAAATGTGTTCTTTTTCCATCTTTTAGGTCCTGACACCGCTGGGCACGCATATAGGCCATACTCCGCTGAGTACTATGATAATATTGAGTATATAGATCAGAAGTTATCGAAACTCATACCCAAAATTAATGAGTACTTTGGCGATGATGACAGTGCGTTCGTTTTCACTGCTGATCATGGCATGTCGGACTTTGGATCTCACGGGGATGGTCATCCTGATAACACTAGAACACCATTGATTGCCTGGGGAGCAGGAATTAATAAACCAGTAGTGTTAGCGGATCTCGAAGACCCTGAGGCTGCAAGGAAAGCTCAAGACCCAGTTCTTTCTGGATATGAAGCGGATTATTTTGACACTTGGGGATTTGAAAATATTAAAAGGAATGATGTAAATCAAGCAGACATTGCATCCTTGATGGCATACTTGATAGGAGCAAATTATCCTGCGAACTCTGTCGGAGAGTTACCTTTAAATTACCTTGATGCTCCTCCACTCGAGAAAATAAAAGCATTATATGCTAATGCTTTATCAATTGTTGAGCAATATCTTGTCAAAGAAAGTGAAGTCTATAACCACCAATTTAAGTTCAAACCATATAGTCCATTTGAGGAAAAATCCATTGACAGCTACAAATTAGAAATTGAAATTTCCATGGCCTCGATTGGTAAGTCTTACAAGGAGGAATACAAAGAGTATGAAATTCAGAAAACGATAGAACTTACTGAGGAACTTATGCAAAGAGCGCTTGATGGCCTCAACTACCTCCAGACATATAATTGGGCCATGTTGCGTTCGATTGTAACTTTAGGCTTCTTTGGTTGGATTGTTTACGCATTTATCTTGTTTTTGAAGCTTTTCATTTTGGACCCTGACACCACTAATAATGAACCAAAGTCTAAATTTTTGATTGGCACTTTTGCTACGTTGACAATAGGGATTAATTATATCTTATTTTACCAAAACTCCCCATTTAACTATTATGCTTATACATTCTTCCCTTTGTACTTTTGGTACACCATTCTTGACAATAGGGCAGCGTTATTCAAAGGTACTGAGTCCTTTTTATATGGAATTTCGAAGTTATCGAAACTTTTAATTGTGCTTTCCTTTGTTGGAATGTATGAAGGAATTTTCCTTGGATTCTCTAGGCGATACATGTTCTCCATTATTTTGATACTAATTGCGCTTTATCCGCTTGCTTTTTCTTCATCGAAGCTTCCGGTATTACAGAAGGCATTGTGGTTCTTTAGCTGTCTTGGCTTATGCCCTTTCACTAATTTAAATCCTGTTAAAGTTGAAAGCCTTCTCCAAATAAATATAGGAGCTCTTTTTGCATTGATAGTTGGTATCTGTGGCTCTATTCAGGCTTTTTCACGCCCAAATATTGATCGTTTCAACAAGACGCTAGTCAGATTGCAACTTGGCTCTATCATTGTCATGCTATACGCAGTTAATGTGTCAGTCAATTCATTGCAGGCAAGAGAAGGCTTGCCCCTTCACTCTCAGGCTATAGGCTGGGCAACTTTTATTGTGTCATTATTTGTTTTACCAATTCTGTTTGCGTATAAACCTTCTAAAGATTATCAGTTGAGACTTTTAACTATTTTCTTAGCATTCACGCCTACATTCATTATCTTGACAATATCATTCGAATTACTATTCTATGTCATTTATTCATTAGTATTACTTCAATGGCTCAACATTGAAGAATCTTTGAACTTTACAAAAGAGGAAATTTCCAGGAGCTTTGAGGAGACGAAAAAGCTTCCCAAAGGTTATTGGATCCAGGTCATTAGAATATCGATAATTGGGTTCTTCTTCCTAGAATTTGCATTTTTTGGAACAGGAAATGTTTCATCCATATCGTCGTTCTCGTTAGATTCGGTCTACAGGTTAATTCCTATATTCGATCCACTTTCCATGGGTGCACTTTTAATTATTAAGTTGATAATACCGTATGTGCTCCTTTCAGCTTGCTTGGGAATAATGAATCATCAACTACAGATCAGAAAATTTATGATCTCTTCACTCATCATATCTACCAGTGATTTCTTGTCCTTGAATTTCTTCTTTTTGGTTAAGACAGAAGGTTCATGGTTAGATATTGGAGTAAGCATTTCAAACTACTGCTTGGCGATTCTATCCTCTTTGGTCGTTCTCATTTTAGAGGTTCTCAGCTCCGTAATACTAAAAGGCGTGGAATATGAGTCAGATGAACCGAAATTGCAGGACGCTCGAGAACAAAGAGAAGAAGACGTCAAAGGAAACAAAGCCGACGAAAACCTGGCCGAGACGGAAGAAGAGGACGAAGAAGAAGAAGAAGAAGAAGACTATCAATATATTGAGAAACCCATTAGTGACAGTCCAATAGCCTCTAGAGTCAGAAAAAGAAGCCAAAAAAAGGAATAAATACCTAATTAAATAAACAATACACCCACGATATAAAACTTAATTCTCTTATTCTATTTATACCCCTGAATATCCGTCCATAAAAAATTTTTCTTTTTTTTTTTGCAAAATCCAATCAATCTATTGAGATAATGAGTAATACCTCGAAAAAAAAAACTGAAATTATCATTAATTATCATTAACTATCAAATACTCCCACTGGACGGCCACTATGACTAGTGATAATATGAAAAAACATGTTTTGATGATAGACAACTATGACTCCTTTACCTGGAACTTATATCAATACTTATACCAGTCTAATTTATGTGGAAAAGTAGACGTATATCGTAATGATAAAATCGATATTGATACTATTGAAAACAAAATTAAGCCAGATATAATATTTATTTCTCCTGGTCCAGGCCATCCTCAGACAGATACGGGTATATCAAGAGATGTTATCAAACATTTTAAGGGTAAGGTACCGATATTTGGTGTTTGTATGGGGCAACAGTGTATTTATGAAGTATTTGGAGGAGATGTATCGTATGCTGGAGAGATTGTTCACGGAAAAACAACAAGTATTAAGCATGATGGAAGGGGGATGTTTTTGAATGTTCCTCAAAGCATTGCAGTAACAAGGTATCACTCTTTAGCTGGGGCTTTAAAAACCTTGCCCGATTGTTTGGAAGTGACTGCCACGACTGAGACGTCTCCCGAAGTAATCATGGGTGTAAGGCATAAGAAATACACAATAGAAGGAGTGCAGTTTCATCCTGAGTCGATATTGACTGAGTCTGGTCAAATTATGATTGATAATCTTTTAGCAGTTTCTGGAGGAACATGGGAAGAAAACAAAGAGAAGAATACCAGTCCTTCTCCTGAAAGCAAGAAGGAGAGTATTTTGAACAAAATATATGAAAAAAGGCGCCAAGACTATATGGAGATTGAAAATTTGCCAGGAAAATCTTTCCATGACTTGGAAATAGCGCTTTCGTTAGGTTTGGCTCCTCCATTGATCAATTTTTATGATAGACTTATTCATACGAAAGAGAACTTGAAGCAAACGATTATCTTGTCTGAATTCAAGCGGGCCTCTCCCTCTAAGGGAATCATCAATATTAGTGCAAATGCGGGTATTCAGGCGAAGACGTATGCTACTTATGGTAGCTCGACGGTGTCTGTCTTGACCGAACCAAATTGGTTCAAAGGATCCTTAGACGATTTGACCTTGATAAGAAAAGTGTTGGATACAGTGGATGTACCTAATTATCAGAGACCAGCCGTTTTAAGGAAAGAGTTTATTTTCAACAAGTATCAGATCTTAGAAGCCAGATTAGCCGGCGCGGATACCGTTCTTCTTATTGTGAAAATGTTGAAGGAAGGATCAATACTTCAAGATTTGTATGAATATTCGTTGTCACTCGGAATGGTGCCTTTAGTTGAAATCAACGATGCAGAGGAGCTAAGTGTTGCACTTAAGCTTACGCACAATGGAAATACAAAAGAGCCTCTAGTTCTCGGTGTAAATAACAGAAATTTAATAACATTTGACGTTGACTTAGGTACAACAAGGTCCCTTATTACTGGGGCAAAAGAGAATAACAACAGGGAAGGCGATGTCTTGGTATTAGCCTTGTCAGGTATAACTAGTACTGAAGACGTGAGAAAGTACAAATATGAAGATAAAGTTGACGGTTTTTTAATAGGAGAAAGCTTAATGAGAGCAGAAGAGAAAGGAAAAGCTGCTGAGTTCTTAAATGAACTATGTACCTGTTGAATAGTCTCAATTATATATAAATAGTCTTAATAGATCATCAATAAAGCCATTAGATATCTCTTTTTTATATACATGACAAAGACGCGTTTCATTAAACATATTTTAGTGAGAGATCCTTCATTACTTAGCCAGAGCTTATAAGGAACAAAGGGAGTAAAGTTCAGACGATTATCGACATGGAAGTAGCAAGCGTTAGGATAGATTCGTCCTTATTGAACGAGAATCAAGGAAAAGTTGTTCGTATTATAGGTAAATGTGAATCTTATGACCCAAGCTCATCGACGGCCACCTTTATTAGTGGTGGACCAATTAATCTTAATTTGACCACGGGAGAAAGCTTGAACGTGAATAGTAAGTACGAAGTGATAGGCAAGGTTGGAGCTTCGGATCAGAATGTTAGTGTTTATTCTGTGATTGAATTATCTGATAATATCAATCTTGAAGTGGCCGAGAAGTTAGTGAAGTATGTTCATAAAGTGCCCGAGCTCTTTCATTAAGAGCCATAAAGGACTTATTTCTGGAGCATGCTGAGAAGCAAACCGTAATGTGTTTGATTTGAAAGTGGTTTTGTCGATTTAAAAGGTTAGCTATAAATGGTCTATATCGCTGAATAGGTCAGTGAACCGTTTTTCATTGTAAAGGCTCTTAGCAGTAGAGATCCAGGCAGGTTTGGTTTCAGGAACTTTGCTATATTTGAAGTTACCAAATGCAATGAGTAGTCTATAGGCAGCTTCGGGACAAGATTTGATTAGAACATCACCAATATCAGAAGCGAATTGCGTGATGGGGATAACTGAATTGTTGCTCGAATTTAATAATGATGTTTGCAAATAATAAACTGACAAATTGTAAATGAACGTTGATAAAGTGGTAGTCATTGTAGAGTAGTGTTTATTAGTCTTTTCTGAAGAAAGGCTGTTTAATATTTTTTCGATTTGCAGTAACAAATCTTGAAAAATACTATTGAATTGGTACTTTCCTTCATCTGTAGGGTCGATAAACAACTGTATGAAGAGCGTGTTTCCAACCAAGTTGTTGAGCATCTTCAATAACATCATGAAAATTGGAATCGTAGAGGGATTAACAATCTTGAGGCCCGATTGAATTGATTTCAATATCACTTCTGCTACTTCTGTAGAGCTCAATAAATCAACTGCAGTTACTCTCGGAACACTCACTCTCAATAAATCATACGCGAGCAAGTGGCTGGATTCACTCCATTCTTCCAAAATCTTGACACATGTTTGGGTGATTATTCTTAAAGATTGCTTCGAGGTTAATGTTGTCAATTCGGAAGCAATGCTGGATAGCTCTGAATCATTAAATCTAGCAGTCTCGGTCTGTTCTCCGTTTAATTTATTTAAACCTTTGACCAATTGCTCTACTTTGTAATCTTTGAAGTTAATGTACTGCTTTATTGGCAAAACCTTCAAAGATGTTGAGCTTGTCGCAGTCTTCTTAGAAGTAGTACTATCTGCGTAAGGATTGTCGATTGGCCCTTCCCCCAACAGAAAGCCGCTTGTATTTTGCATTATGAACCTCACAACTTCATCGTTATATGATTCAGGTAATTCATTATCCGCTAAAAATCTTTGGGCGGCAGTATATGCATTTTCATTAGCATTATACGGGAGTTTCAACGGTGGTGCACCGTCTTCAATATCTACATCAAATAGATAATCCCACTCTTTTCCGTTGAAATGCTTCTTACTCCCGGTGTCCGTGGAAGATCCAACAACGTCTCCAATTTTTATCCATTCTCCTCCAGACCATTGATGTGCTTCAATGGTACCACTAGCATTCTTCACCATTAGTGTCGATCCTTCCTGTTTACCTGGATTCTCTAAAGCTTCATAACCAGGAATATCTGTCTTCTTGAGATTATCGACGGACTGCTCGGCAATGCTAGACTGCTCAACGTCCTTTTTCAACTGTGCTACTTCTTCATTCGATGCCACTCTAGTGGGCGACCTCGTAAATACTCTAAGGTAATTATCAGATCCCCCCACAACAAAGTCTCCATTGGGACACACACTCAAGCACCATAATGAAATGCAAGGAAGTCGAATTACCTGTATTGCAACTCCGTCTCTCCACACACGAACAGTTCTATCTTCGCCAGAGGAAACTAAATCACCGTTAGGCAACACTTTAAGATCATAAACAAACGATTCATGACCTTCCAAAGTTTTCAATACTGCTCCAGTCTCTAAGTCCCATATTTTAATCGTACAGTCATTAGAGCATGATGCAAACTGTTTATTACCTGGCAAAATTAACAACTTCCTTACGACATCAGAATGGCCAGTGAATGATGCCACCTCTTTATTTCCTACCCACTTCTTTATAGTCCTGTCGGCAGAGCATGTCAAAAAACTTGATTCTCCTATGATCTTGGCATCCCAGACCGAAGCTTGATGGCCCTTCAAGTCATACTTGACAGAGCAAGTACTCAAATCCCATACTTTAGCTGTAGTATCCCAAGACCCCGAAATCAAAGCACCATGGCTATAAAACAATGAACAGACATTCGAAGCATGTCCAATTAATTGATATTTGCCCAAATCCTCATCTCCTGCTGTCCTCTCTGAGGGATAAGGATCTGACAAGTATATGATACAATCTTTCCCAGCACTTGCAACAGATGGATCAGATTCATTGTCAACAAAAGCAACACAGTTCATAAACGATCCACTTGGGGAATTAAATATAATCGATCCTTCTAAGTGGGATCCATGACCCCATCCTCCATCACTGTCTGGTATGCTCCACATTCGAACAGTTCCATCTCTCAGACAAGATATGATTGTACCATCAAACGGTGATACAACGTCTCTAACGTCCTGTTCATGGCCAATTAAAGTACCACTGAGCTGAAATTTGGACATTATCGTTAATCGTCGTTAATCGTCACTACCTCTACTTCAATAATATCTGTTTTATATAAGTCCTCTCGCTATCGTGGTGGCAATAGCTTTCGGTAAGATAAATTATATAAAGTTCGAAATACTGTACACATTATCATAAGAAATTTAACTAAATCCGGAGGGAAATCAACAAACAATGAAAGGGTTTTAGACTAAATCTAAGTTAAATATATAAGAAAGGTGATTTATTATGACTCTATCATATGCTATAGCCCAGGATGGAACACATGTTTTTTCTAATAGAAAGTTGGGAAAGCATCTCTTTGTAAATGAAAGTACAGTTGAAGTTTCGGATACCATTCCAAGTATCTACTCCAAATTGGAATTTCAGGACATTTCAGCTATTATTGGTATTATTAGGTTGAAAATAAATAAATATTTGATATTAGTTGAAAAGCACACCGTTAAGGGGTCAATATTGGGAAATGCAATAGCTAAGGTTGATACTTATAAGGTGATACCGTTAGGCAATCATGAGATCGCAAAGAAAAGCTCTGAGGAGGCTCATTATTTAGATCTTCTTGACTATCATCTTACATCTGCTACATTGTTCTTTTCAGTTGACAACGGCTATGATTTGACTAACTGTTTGCAGAAGCAATTCACGACTTCACATTTGAAGCAAGATGATCGTTTCTGGTGGAACAAATTTTTAAGTGAAGAGCTTTTGAATTCCAATGCTGATGGATTTGTGACACCTATGATTTATGGCTACTTTAAGTCACATTCAGCTGTATTCAAAGGCGGCAGAACTTTGGATTTCGCATTATTAACTCGTCGGTCAGTTCAAAGAGCTGGTACTAGGTACTTCCGTCGTGGTATCGATGAAGATGGAAACGTGGCCAACTTCAATGAAACAGAACAGATATTTACTACCAGTGATCAACATGTTTTCTCGTTCTTACAAACGAGAGGATCAGTGCCAGTGTATTGGTCCGAAATAAATAATTTGAAGTACAGACCTAACTTGGTCATTTCCACAAAATCTTCCCTAGATGCAACGGTGAAGCACTTCACTGAACAGGTTAAAACCTACGGAGAAGTTTACTGCGTCAATTTAGTCAATCAGAGTGGTTATGAACTACCCGTCAAAAGGGCGTACGAGGCTGCTGTTGAAAACCTTCCCCAACCTTTGGCTTCTAGTGTTAAATATATTTATTTCGACTTTCATCATGAATGTCGCAAGATGAGGTGGGATAGAGTTAAGTTATTATTAGATCATTTGATAAAGTTGGGCTTCACCAGTGGTGAATACTTCCACTTTGATTTGTCTACGAAGGAGGTTAAGTCAACCCAGACAAAGATAATCCGTACTAACTGCATGGACTGTCTTGATCGTACTAATGTTGTTCAATCAACCCTAGGTCGTTGGGTCTTACAAAATCAATTGGAGGTGGCCAATTATTTGCCATCCTCTAATGTGACACCATGGGAGATCTTAGACCCAAAGTTCAATTTGTTTTTCCAAAGCTTTTGGGCGGATAATGCTGATGCTGTATCATGCGCCTATTCTGGAACAGGTGCTTTAAAGACTGACTATACTCGTACAGGTAAGCGTACACGTCTTGGTGCACTTCAGGATCTAGTTAATTCGATTACGAGGTATTATAGAAATAATTACAAAGATGGTGTTAGGCAAGATGCATACGATTTGTTCTTGGGCAAGTATAGGCCATATCAGGACTCGGTTAACTCCCCTTTCATTGACAGAAGACCACCATACGTACAGCTTTTGCCATATTTAATGGGCACCTCTCTTATTGTCTTATTGGCTATCTTATGCTACCCAAGAGGCTCTATTTTGGATTTGAAGAATATTTTAGTCATAGGTGGCTGCTTGATCTACAACCTTAGGAGCTTCTCGTATCTCAATAGAGAAGGTTATCAATTTGTCAATTGGCCGAAGTTGAACAAACTAGACTATTTGAAGAAAACAGATGTTTTTGACGGCGAAGGGAAGTTCATGGGTATCCGCTACGAGGAAGTAGACTCATTCAAGACTGTAGGAAAGAAAAGATCTTAATATTTACATCTTTAAATGTGTTCGTAAAGTGTCTGTTTAATATATATCTTACTTTTGTGTAACTTTCTTTATAAGGTATGTCGAATCTGGAAATTAATAGAGAGACTCCTACAGTAACTTCGTATATCATTAAGGGACAAAGTTAAAACATTCAAATAACAATGTCAGAGTCGCTTTTGGAAAAGTCCTTAGATGACATTATTGGTGACAAAAAGCCATCCAAAATACAGCGCCAGAATGGTCCAAGAAACAAAGCAAGAATCAATAAGCCTGTAAGTAGAAAGGTAATAGGTTGATGGTAAATGAGTACTAACAGATGTAGAGTCGGTCTAAAAATGGTCCAACTGAAAGAAGAAGTATAAACTTTAAGCAACAGAGGTCAGTTCCACGAGAAGTTAATTCGATAGCAGGTTCAAGACCAGTTTTAAGAGTGAAAAATATCCATCCTGAATTGAATGGTGAGGACTTGTCTAATTTGTTTAGTAGCATTTCGCCAGTTGAATTCGTTAAGTTTGATCCGAAAGATGATACAGTGGCATATGTTTGTTTCCAATCTAATAATGCCCATAACAATTCCAGTGCAATTTCCAAATTTGATGGTAGAAAGGCGATGGGTAATCATTTAGTTGTTGAAAACGCAACATCGTTGGCAGATAGGATTCTTGCCCCTGTAAAGCAAGCATCTGAAAGATATACTAAGGGTACAAGTCCAGCAAAGAAACCTAAGAGAAAGCCAAAGCCTCAAAAGAAATCAATCGATGATTTGGATGAAGAGTTGTCTGCCTACATGAATAAGCAGAGTTCTGGTGACGCTCAAGAAGCTGAACCTGCTTCAACAGAACATTCTAGTACGAGCCCTAGTAATACGCAAGATGGAATGAATTTGGATTAAATGTACAGTTTTAGGAATTCTACCAAGTAAAAATAAACGTCAATAGTAGTAGTTCTACTTGTTACATAATTAATTAATAAGAAGAATACTTAGCCCATACCCTGGCTCATCTCTACCAAACCCAAGTAACGATTTTTAGTCCATCTTCTTAACTGTTTACCCCAGATCAAGAAGGGTATTATTAAAGCAATGGTAGCAAAATCTATGACTGCTAAAGCAATATAGGTGTTCTGGGTTCCAGAAGATTCTAACCAATAGGAACACACAAAGGTAAAGATACTTCCCAAAGAGTTATTTATTATAGAAACACCAACCATACCTTGAATAATGGTTTCGGGGTAAGCATCCATCATGTAGGACATAGCGGTGTCACCAATTGAACCCCAACCAAAACCAATAAGTCCCAAGCCACCATATATAACCCAAGGTGGCCACATCCTGGCTGCCCCAACACCAAACATAATTAAACCTGCTGGTGAGATAATCAAAGTTGCAAAAAGTAACCATAATCTGAATTCAGGCTCTAAAATACCATTATTTCTCTTGGACAACCATAAGACATGCCAGTCAGAACAGAAACCAGCAAAACAACATCCGATTGCAGCTCCAACTAAAGTTGCGACGTTCATTATAGCAACACCTGTCTCCGAATAATTCCAAGGGGCTTCTGGAAAGTAGTCATCTTCAGTAGTCAAGAAGAAAGACATGTAAGCATCCTGCAAACCCCATAATAAACCTGAAAGCCAAACTGCTGGAAGTGTGAAAATTTTGAAATAAACGACAAATCTCATGACATATTGCTTAAATCCAAATCCTTCTAAGTATGGGGATGGCGTAATTACTGCGATTCTTTTCCAGTATGGTTTTGGCTTTTCTTTGGAACCTTGGGCTTCGTTATCATTGAAATTTTCACTTGAAGTGTTCTCCTTTTCGCTTCCGAAATTACTAACACTCACTGTATTCTTGAGTTTATCATTTTGAAATTCAGGCTCGGGACTTGCTTCCACTGATTCATAGATATGTGAGTGTGCTGATCTATCAAAAACCGTCTCTTCGCATGTAAAAAATACAGCAACCAATGTAGCTCCGGTGATTATGGCTCCCCACCAGCCAACCCATCTAAAGGTCTGTGAATCTGATATAAATTGGGCAATGAGAGGACCCAAGAAAGATCCCACTGAAGTTGCCAAGATATAAACTGTTAAGACAGAGCCTAGCTGATGCTGGAAAAAAATATCTGCTAATGATTGCTGGACTTGGGCTTCAGCACATGCCTCTCCCATACCCACGAATGCTTGGGACCATATGGTATCTGAAGTAGTCTTCGAAACTGCAAACCAAACACAACCCAAAGCACCTGCGAGTAAACAAATAAGATATGTGATTCTCCTACCATATAAGGATGATGCAGGGGCAAAAAAAATACAAGACCAACCAATGAAAAGGAAAAGTACACCAGCACCGGTATTCATAGAATCGTATGAAATTCCATAGATCTCGTTCAACGAATCCTGGGCTGCACCAGCATCGTTGGATGTCGCAGCTGTTAAACCTGTAATAAAACAAACTACGAAAAAGTGCCACATCTTTCTAGTTACACCCCAGTTTAACGGGTCATTTGGGGATTCTGTAGGTTGAGGAACCAAAATAACACCATTCTTGTTCTTTTTCAATGAACCGCTGGAAATGGACCCGTCATCACTAGTGTTGAACACCTTGATGGTACCCGGGACAAAATCATGATCATCTCGATGCAGTTGGGTTACAGTAACCATCGTTGTCTAGTTGATGGACCCTTGCTTCGATGATCGCAAAAAAAATTTTGATATGAAAATTTTTTAATACCTCTCGAAGCTAATACACAAAAATCGCTACGCTTGTTCGCTGGCTATCGTATCTTTAGCTCTGTCGATTTCTGCCAACTTCTCGTTGTAATTTGACTCCGTTATAGTCTGCGATGAGGTCTTTCTTAGTGGATCTCGTTGCTCTAATAGTTGTCGCACTCAAGTGTTTCACCTATTTGATTACTTGAACTTATACCAAATACAACGGCGACAACTATATTATCCTTCTATCACTATAAAAGCGATCCTAGGCTTCAGAGGTATAATATATATAAACAATATCCTGCGGCAGATGCCCCCCCCTCATATATTAATTCATGTTTAGAACCTTATCTATGTCACCTTCCCTTTATAGGAGGTTGTATCCGGTAGCGGGAAGTGATCTCCTTGCACGACATTTTATCTTGAAAAATTTCAGAAGGCATCATTGGAGTGGCGCAAAGATAAAGAATAGTACCATTATTATAACTAGGATTATTCGGAGGATCGTCAGCGCCAGTAAGCAGCTTAAGATAAAGCTACTCGTATATGCTGTCGATTGATCCTAAGGAACTTTTAACTTGGTGTGATGATTTACATCAAGTTAAAGGCAATGTTTCTCAATTACAAGCAACTCTTAATCAAATCTTAGCTAAGGCACCCACGCTAGAGCAGTTTAAAAATTTGTCTTTATATTTGGAGCTGAATGGGTCCAATAAAGATCCTCGATCTATTGGCGGTAGAACTAAAAGCTTGCTTATATCTCCTCAGTTAAAGGTTGCCGTAAGACTAAAGCACTTGTGTGAAGCGGGATTGTTGCCCGAGCTATTAGCGCTATGCAGAATCAACTTTAAATCAAACAAAGCTGACAAGTTTGTGGGGTACTTTTTGGATTACATCCCACCGAAGAACGTTGCAGAGACATTGCCTGACGTTTTAACTAAAAATATAATTAAAAGCAAGTACGCAGACATAGCTACATATCCACCGACGTTACCCCCGATTTCCGACGAATCTTTGTTGAGGAGGGTGCTTACTGATAAGTCTTTTCGTCAACCGTCTGACTTCATAGAACTGGAGACATTGAATGATTTCAACCAGGCACACAATGCCAAGTTGAGCTTAAAAGGAAGATCGCTCTTAGAATACTTGATAATCGACATTCTAGAATCTAAATTTACAAGTATACATGAGGACGATGTATTTTTATTCAGTCATAAACTCCTTTCGAAGTCAATATTAGCAAGATTAGCATTGGGGTATAACTTGGTAGACCAATACAATTTCAATTTTTCTAAAGAACTCAGCTTAGAAGAAAAATTGAAGTGTTTGAGCAATATCTTTTTGGCATACGTTGCCGGCTTGACACTAGATGGCTATTCTCTCGAAGAAATAGGAAGATGGATTGAGAAACTATATGAACCGTTGTGGTCAGATTTATCGGATTCGATTGATAAGCGGCCAATCAGCAAGTTTTCTTTAGCGGAATTGAACTTCTTGTTTAAAAGATTGACTGATATATATGCCGTTCAACCAGAAGAGGTCTCAATAGAATTCACTGAGTTAGATACTGATCCCTATGTTGTGAGGTTGAACGTAAATGGTGAAGGCTTGGGAGTTGGTACCAGTAGTAAAAGTTTAGAGGACGCAAAAGAGCGAGCGGCCGAGGAGTCTTTTCGTGATAAGAGCAGCTTAGACCATATATTGACTACTTTAATTGATCGATACAAGGCCGACGATTCAGTCTCGTCCAACTCTAATGACGAAGAAGATTCTTATTCCCCCAGACTTGATAGCGACGGTTACGAATCTCCCGTTCCCGAATCCTTCGCAGATTATAAACCCGAAAAACGAGTTAATGAATCCAGGGGTACTTTTTCTCGCAGTGATATTGGTAACGGCTCGAGGCAATCTAAATCTCCAGCCTTTCATAATTTACCTCCATCTCTTCCCTCAATACCCAACCGGCCGCAACCTTACGGTGCCCCTCCTCAGCTACAGGATAGGCCCCTAGCTCCTTATGTTCTTACTCCTCTGATCGATGTTGGCCCAACTGAAAATGGAATTGATAATAGTGCCAAAAACAACCTCTATGCATTACTTGGCCCGCTCCATCTAACTCCGACGTATAAGTTTCTGAGGAGTGGCAACGATTTCCTAGCGACGGTTCTGGTCAACGATGTCGTTCTAGGTGAAGGATATGACAATAATAAAAAGATCGCAAGTCAAAAGGCTGCTACGAACGCATTGAACAATACCTCAGCATTACTGATGCTAGGAGTAGGTATATAACTTTGTATCTTGTAACAACCAATTCTTACGTCACTTATCGTGTTAATTTTTGCATCAGCTTATCAGATTGGTCTTGCTCTACTCTAGCATCTTTCTGCTTTTCCGGTCTCTACTTTCTTCTGGCCAGTAGCTCTCTAATCAACGTAGCTCTCTAGCCTAGTGTAGCTGCAAACTATTGGAACCCGTTGCAACGAACAGGATTCCCGTTTTGGGCCTATCCTCAGTCTCCACCCAATCAAAAGTTGCAAGAAAAGAAACGAAACTCGAGCAGAAAAAGATTTTTTTTTTTCCTCATTCCGACTTCCACCGAGCTGAATAATGTGGACGTTTAAAAACACCTTGATTTCCTCCCTTACAATTCATTAATTGAAAATAATTCAGGTTAGTTTCTTATTAATCTATTCAATTGTATATACTAAAAGAAGTCAAATAAAAAAGTAAAATGGCTACTCAACAACCAACATTACCTGTCTTTACTGTTAAGGACTATGCATCATTTGCCTTAGCAGGTGCTATTGGATGTGGTGTTACACATGGTGCTATGACCCCGATCGATGTGGTCAAGACCAGAATTCAATTAGAACCAACTGTTTACAACAAAGGTATGGTTGGCTCATTCAAACAAGTTGTATCTAAAGAAGGTGCTGGTGCCTTGTTGACTGGTTTAGGTCCAACCATTTTGGGTTACTCCATGCAAGGTGCATTCAAGTTCGGTGGTTACGAGTTGTTCAAGAAGACTTTCATTGAGCAATTAGGTCTTGACACTGCAAAGAACTACAAGAACTCTATTTACATGGGTTCTTCTGCTTTGGCTGAATTCTTTGCTGATATTGCCTTATGTCCATTGGAAGCTACCAGAATCAGATTAGTCTCTCAACCTACTTTTGCTAACGGTTTAGTTGGTGGATTCAGCAGAATCTTGAGAGAAGAAGGTGTTGGTTCATTCTACAATGGTTTCACTCCAATCTTATTCAAGCAAATTCCATACAACATTGCTAAGTTCTTGGTTTTCGAGAGAGCTGCTGAGGCTATTTTCAACGCCATTCCAACTCCAAAGAATGATTTGTCTAACGTTGGTTTGACTGCTGTTAACTTAGGTGCTGGTATCATTGCTGGATGTGCTGCTGCTACTGTTTCTCAACCTGCTGATACTTTATTGTCTAAGGTCAACAAGACCAAGAAGGCTCCAGGTCAATCTACCGTTGGTTTATTAGCTCAATTAGCTAAGCAATTGGGTGTTCGTGGTTCATTCGCTGGTTTGCCAACCAGATTGATCATGGTTGGTACTTTAACCTCCTTACAATTCACCATCTACGGTTCATTGAAAAAGACTTTGAACTGTCCAAAGGCTGTTGAATTATAAGTTGCTTAGAATACTTGAAGCATCTTGTAGATATGGCCATCAACATCCTGTTGGATGTTTAGACCGAAAATTGAAAGATCGAAGCAATAGAGGTTTCTTTATCATTATATTATTACTATTATTATTATTATTATTATTATTACTATCATCATCATTGTTATATTATTAGTATCATTATCATGTATTGGCATCAACTTCTAATGTCGTGGTCTCCTCTATATCGCTTTTTGTAATCCAAGTATTTTATTGTATGTATCTGATCCTTTTCAAACCTGTATGCCTTTTAAGACCGTTGCCGTATCTCTTGTCTTTGGTGCGATCAGGCTCGGTTTGACCGAATCAAATACTATAGCTTTTCATTTCCGGTCGGCACATGGCCGGCCCATATCGTTAATGTCCTCTAGATCAATGGGGTGCCGACATAATTCTCGAAACTCGGCGATTAACATGTAGGATTCTTCCCGATGATGTCAATGATCTGCATTTTAAATATGCTTACTTAAGCCGAGCACTAATTATAGCTATCATCATACTATTCGAGCGCTTTCGCAACTTTAGTAGTAGGTATCAACGCTCGAACCCGACCTCGATGCCGCAATAGTACTTATTTCAGTACCCTGAGATGGTTTGATGAAGTTATGTTGTGATGAATTGTTATGTAGGCAATTTAACATGCGGTAATAGATTCCATCGGTACAAATACTGACTAATTATAGAAGTGCATGGAAGCGAAAGGCTGTAAAAGTGCTATGCGAAAACGAAGAGCATGACCGTCGCAGGCAAAACACATTGAAGTATAAGAAAGATGCACATGCCCTAGTATCATTGCATGGTACCTTAGATTTAATACAATTTACCACTACAGTATATCATTACAAATTTACAAACAACAGCATGAATTTCCTTAGCTTAATACTTTCTGCCATTCTTGTATGTCAAGTTGCAGCACATCCAGTGTCAAAAAGACTTTATCAGCCAACATCACCGATGTTCTCTCTTATTGCAGAGCATGATGGAGCAGTCTTCCAGGCACATTTAGTCAAATTTGATGGTACAGATTTAAAATTAGTGGCTGATGAGGCAGCATTTTTCGGAAGGATCAAAGCTAATAATGGTTACGTGTTGAATATTCCTAGTGCTGATAATAGCACTAATAGCACCAATTCTGGAGTTCCTCCATCTACCACTAATGTCTTGATTGACGACCATGACAAATTAACAACTACCGTTGGAGCTGCTACAGAACATTTTGGAATTGAGAAATCTTTGTTGACATACAAAAATTCCACTAGTTTCGTTGCCTGCGGTGACCAATCATATCGTGGTGAATATAGCGTCTATTTCAAGCCGGGAAGCAATTTTACCTGCCCATTTAATTCCACTGGCTACGATATTAATCTTAGAGTACAAGTCGATGCCACTGTTAACTACAATCCAAATGTCAACATCTAGATAAAAACATGAAAGGTCATTTCATAATAGAGTATTGACTATTGTCATTGCCTAAATCATCTCAATTCACTCTTTTGCATATTATAAGCTCACCTAATAGTCATTCATTACTGCATCATTTCATTATGTACATTCATTCATAAAGGATAAGATCAAAACTATCCACAATATAAAAGTTCTCGATCATTTAACTATTTAAATATATAACTATAATTAGCTTTACAGTAGCCTATACTTCTACTTCTGAATAATCTTTCGATCTTTTGGGTTCAAATTATCTATATTACTGTACTGCATATTGTGCTATGGAACTGAAAAATTTCTTTGTCTGATGATCATCACAGTTGGAGCTCACTTACAGAGAGTATACTTACAACGCTTTGGACTAACAATGTCGTCATACAAATCTGACAAATATGTGAATGAATCAAGTTCAGATTCTGAGTTAGAAGAGTCAGAATTTGAGCCCCCAAAACACTATAAGAAAGTGACGGCATCTAAAAGTATTTCACCTGATAGTGAAAAAGAAGCATGGTTAATAAAGATTCCAAAGGGATTTCCTCTCAAGGACCTCAAAACTCTTCCTATTTCTCTTAATACCTCGTCTAAAAATGAAGACATCCCATCCTTCAAACTAGGTGGTCAAACTTTTCAAGTTGGTGAAGAATACTTGTCCGCCACGGCCGACAATCAAAAATACGCTGTATTTACGAACAGTGATAACAATTCATACAAAATTAGTAATTCCAAAATTACCAGGTTTTACAATCTTTATGAAACTGTGGAAATCCCTAAAATAGACATTAATAACGTAAGGAAAGAAAGGGAGAGCGTAAAAAAGATAAAGCATTTGAAAATGAGACATTTTCCGACGGGATATGGATCAAAAGATTATGATGAAGCTAAAGGTGGGAATGGTTTATCAGAGAGCGACTCAGAAGATAAAAAAGTGAAAAAAGATAGTGATGGTAAAGTATTAAAGAAACATAAATCTGATAAGAAAGGTAGCGTCGACGGGACTGAAAAGAAAGAAAAGAAGATCAAACTGGAGAAAAAGGAAAAGAAAGAGAAGAAGGAGAAGAAAGAGAAAAAAGACAAAAAAGAGAAAAAAGACAGAAAAGATAAAGAGAAGCGTAGGGAAGAATAAATGGGAAGTGATTTCAGCATTTGTTCTCCTCCTTTTATTATAAAAACAAGATAATTATCTGAAATAGACTTTATTTGCATATCCAAGGGATCTTATTCATATAGCTTAACTCATATTTAAAGTAGAATTCTTCACATTCGTAGCATAGTTATTGAAAATGCGTTTTTAGAAAATATGATTTTACTCGTGCGAATCGATGATAATATAGTGAACAAAGTATCTTTTAATACTTTAGTTGAAGGTGTTACGTATCAGCTTTTGACTATCAGCATGGGAAATAAAGCATCCAAGCCCGCCAGAAAGTTTACTGATACGGTTTCTAAAGGGACTGTGAATAGAAGCTCACAAGTTAATCAATTGCCATCGCAAACGCTTCGACTGAATTATGAGAAGCATCACATGGAGAAGAGTATAAATGAGGCCCAGAATCAAGAAGCTGCTGGCACTAAAATTAATAGTACTCTATTTCTGTCGACATCTCACACATCTTTTGATCCCTCCTATTTAAAGAAAAAATTAAAAAGTTCATCATCTGGTAAAGGTCAAAAGGATCAAACACAGCTGCCCGAAGGAAAAGATGGCTTTGACCCTCAAGGGAAGTTTGATGATGATTTCATTAAGTCCATAACGAGACTTGGGAAGCTGATCGAGTCCAAGCCAGAATCACAGCATTTTGATACATCATTAGCTTTAGAGCAATTGAGGTTCCGGAAGGATTTATACGCACAAGGACAGAAGGAGTTGGATCTTCAGAAAAACCAAGGATCATACCCCCAAAGCTCTAATGGCTCTGCTGGAAAAGAGCTGGAGGTCGTAAGGACGATGGTCCATCCAAGGACCTTAGGAGCAATTTTGACTGACATAAGAGATCCTCGAATAGACAATGAAAGAATAATACTAGATTATCAGCTTCATTCCAACTTTCTCGATGGCTTAGGCAAAAGGTTTAAGTTAGCCACTCATTCTGCCCCTCTAGATCCAAAGCCAAAGGATGATGAGATTGGTCCTAGAGAAGAACCTGTTTCTAATGTAGTTTCGGACAAAGATGGGGCTGATAACATTGATAAGAAAAAATTGAAGAAATTGCAAGAAAGAATTAGTCTTGAGGATTAGGTATACACTCGCTACGTTCTGGCTCTTATATAAGTGAAAAGCACAATGTAAATAGAATCAATAAGCCTTACACCTTTTCTCAGGATCTGCATGTAGGTCTCTCAATATAACCCCAGAAAATATATGGTTAGACAATAAGGGCATAATATATACTTCTCTAACACTATCATCCTAGCAATAATTATCAATTGGTCCATGACAATGAAGATCAGCACTAAAGATTTAATCCCAGTATTATCTAAATTTACTCCATGCGACATTTCAGACTCCCTTGTTAAACATGGAATCTCCAATGGGGGATATATTCCTAACTTGGAACAAAGATCTCCCAAGACAGGAAAAGGAACGGTAGTTGGTAAGGCTTATACTGTTCTTTATGCGCCCAAGTCTGATCCAAGGCCTGCTGTTAAAGAATCTTATATCGACAATATCCCAGAAAATAGCGTTTTAGTGATAGGTGTTCCTCCACTGGTACAAAGCTTATATGCTCCCTATAACAAAGTTAATAATGCCCTTTATGGTGGATTAATGTCGACTAGGGCCCAATACAAGAAAGCAAACGGTTCAGTAGTCTTAGGTCGCATAAGAGATTTGGATGAACATAATGATTTAGGTTATCCCGTTTGGTCTTATGGAGTCGGGAGTACCGCACCAGGTCCTGTAGTGAAAGTTGTGGGAATCAATGTCCCGATTGAGGTCAAAGTCCCTTCTATCGAGGGACCTGAAGAGATCATCTTGATTAACTCTGGGGATTATATTGTCGCCGATAAGAATGGGGTTGTAAGGCTACCAATTAATGCACAAAGTGGCAAGGAAGCTCAATTGGACTTGGAGAGTATATTGGATTATATTCCAAAAAGAGTTGAAGCTGATCAAAAGGTCAGTGAAGATATAAAAAATGGAAAGCCGGCTGCAGAAGCGCAAAAATTCTGGCGTAGCAAAATTTAAAATAGAATCGTTCCATTATATATCGAATAGATATTCCTCAGCTTTAGAGTCGCCTTCGTTGAGAAATACACTTGTTTTTAGTCTTTCGACATATACAAATACATGTAGTTATTAGCGTCTTCATATAATCATCAATCGCACTACAAATAATGATGCTCATTTAAGTCATGTACACTAAAACTAATCTTATCTTTGTTTTAGTAGCAGAAATCAGCTTTTCATTTAATGCCATTGGACTTGCCGATGTATCCAAATGAAGAGGCTCCAGATCCCTCACACTTCTATTACCAGCTTGAGGATTTAAGAGTTTCAATTATTGGAAATGAAGATTTAAAGTTAAAGTTAGCGGGCGATACAAGTTTCATGGAAGATCTTGTTACAAGATTCCATAAAGACCTAGAGAGACTTGAAAAGTATGATCAGTTAAATGGCGAACCGCAACATGAGCTTTTAGTTTCCTTAGAGAAAGAGGTAATTATCTTGAAGATACTTTGTTCGTTCGTGACGGAAATGAATTCAGTTCAGCATCCCAATGTTGCGAATTGCATTGATTGCTTCGAAGAGTTGATGGGGCCAATAGTGAGATTGCTCAACTACTTCATTGTGAAAGTGATACCAAAAATATATGATGGTACATCTGAAGGTAATAATAATGAAAAAATAGAGAATTCAGTTCAGTACTGTTTAGATATCTTGAATTCGTTATTCAGCGCAATAGGAGATTCTCGAAGATTTGCTCCAGAAAAGTTTAAAAAATTATGGAGATTAATAATCTCTCTAGTGATTATAAATGATGATTCGCAGGCGTTTTATTCAATCCTAGTGAAGTTGCTTGAGCTTGTTCCATTATTATTGGAGAACTCTAACCTAGATGACACATTGGTTGTAACTTTATTATCTACCCTTTTGAAACGACTTTCTAGTGAATGCTCCATAATATGCGAAACTCATTTTCCTGAAGCTATGCAATCTCAAGATGCTCTATTTAAAGCTGCCTTTCAGGAGTCCAGTTTACCCAATGTTGAGCCAATAAAGTCTATCATGAAGACGAAAGTTAATATGCCATTTCTTCTTAGTCTCATAACTTGTGTGGCGCAAATTTTTAGCTTTTTGAAGTATCACGACTATGATATTTTAATGAGCTCTTCCATCGGGTTACCTTTGAAGGGAAACTCGCTGGTTATGTTACCGGTCAACATATACATATCTTTATTGTTACTATTAAAGTGCGAAAGTAAAATGCTTCGCCTTGTTACTTTAAACTTGTTGGGCTTCTACTTGAATAATTTGAAGGTATCAAGGGAAGTAGATGGATTTAATGAAGAAGTGATTTTTAGGAATTTCAAGAAATTATTTCCAAGGATAATTGAGCTTTTAGATCTGGAGGAAAATAGCATGAGTTTCGAATTACCGGCTTTCTTATTATCACCCACACAAATTTTGGCTAATTTGTGCACCCGATATCCTTTATTAAATGACGATATACGGAGGGCAAACCTTGATATTCGAATCCTAAAAGCTTTAGAACTGTCTTTTAAGTCAAATCAGACAATAAAAGTGATAAGGTCACTCAGAAAAGACACAGAAAATTGCAATAAGCTTGCTGACTTTTCAGCTGTGTTGACATCCAGGAAAGATAGTCAAGATATTTCAGATTTACTATTGTTACTAAGCGTCTACACAAGCTATAACGAAGATTACCGACACAGGGTTACTGATTCAATGGATCCAAAAACTACAAGCAATTTGGCCCTAGAACAAATCATATTTGAAATTATTGATGATTACAGTTTTCTAATGGATCAGATGCTAGCTATGTACAAATCTTTACGTTTACATCTAAAAAGTTCGAGACTTTCTGAAAGTCAGATTACATGGTTCAACAAAAACTTGGGAATCGTCATGGCCCTAATTAATAGTTCGCTTTTTACGAACTGCTTATACCTAATTCGATCAGTATCCAGATCGGTCTCCACTTTAAGAACATTCTTTGTCGAATGCAATTCTCTTGTTGCCGACCCCTTAGGAGTTGAAAGCCCTAGGCCTAGCAAGGGTCTCTCTGGTGCTTTTATTCGGAACTTCTTGTATATCTTGAAAAACTCCGAAGTAACCATTAAAATTTTTGATTTTTTTTATAAACTCAGCTCCTCGAGTCACCGGCTTAAAAAATCACAAATCACAAATATGTCACTAACCCTAGGAATTATCGCTAATTTTATTTTAGCCTTCAGCTCCTTCAGATACGAAATAATTAACGATGGAGAGTTTTTAAAGGATTTGTCTCAAATCTATCAAAGGTTTGCTAATGTTGAAGACACTTCGCCCTTATCAGATGAATCAGACTTGTATCGAAGAAACATAATTCGGTTAAATATTTTGCATGTCTTGAAAAATTTTATATTCAATGAAAATATAGAAACGAAGAAGGAGATTAATGAAGCAGTTCCTCTTTCGTTACTTTTCGAAAGAGCAAGTTATCCATTATGTGGTTACACAGATGAGCTGATACAAATTAAAAGTTTGAAAATGCAACAAAAAATCGTCGCTTTCGACATCTTTAGAAATTATACTGCAGGATCATCTAAATTCAACAAGATAATAGTGGACCATTATGAAAATGTGTTCTCTGAAGGACACACTATTCCAAGTTCATGGGAAGACTTTTTGATTGCAAATATTAAGAACCTTACGCCGTTTAGCTCAAGTGATACGAATGTTAACTTCGAAGATAATGATGATCTATTGAACTTGATCCTTGATGATAACTATGTCAATATGGTAACTTCTATCAATTACATTGAAAATCACAAGTACACTAACATTGACTTATTGAACAAAAAATATTTCCCACAAAAGGAATTGTTGTTGATTTGGTTAAGATTTTTAAAGCTAAAGGTATCCAGTGAATTTGAGGGAAAATTACGCCTAGACTCTAAAGTTTCGTTGAATAATAACTTGAATGAGATCAAGACGTCGATCATTTGGGTTTTAATTAATTTGACACATCAGAATGATACCCTTGAATATCAAGGATCCGAAGGAAATCACTACAATTTGTTTGACACTGTTGATGACACATCTAGAAACTCTGGTAAGATTGATATTGATGATTCTGATGAATCAGACTCAAATAGTACTGAAAATTATCTATTCAAAAGTAATAAAGATTCGCTTACTGTCGCAGAAAGAGCACTATACTTGAGAAAATTGGGTTTTTTGAGCGTTATTACTGGTCTCATTGATAATATTTCTAGGGGAAGCTACGTAGTGTCGCATTCAAAGACTTCAAAAAGATTTGATCTAGAAAATAGCTACGATCTATTGGAAAAAGCGAAAACTGCAAGCTTTCAACTATCCGGCTCCAGAAGACGGCATACTACAGGAGGTGATAACAATAGGCCATCTCTTCGTACTGCTGCACGCAGGGTGTTCGGTCTCGGACGCCCAGATGTAAACAGAGGGGGTGAGGGATACGGCTATGGCTCGGACGACGACTATGCCAATGCTAACCAATCATTGCAATCCATGCCGGTCCGTCCGCAAGACTACAATGTCGACGACCATGAAGATGAAGAAGTCGACGATGACGAAGCCGACGACGACGACTACTGGATTCACTAGTTGCTCCCTCTTAGTAAGGTCTCTATATAATTCTCTATATTGCGGCCAGGAGTTTTTGCATTTATATATGCTAAAATAAATTCTTGCTATCCTATACTTGCTTTAGTCTCTCATGCGCCATAAAATATATTCGAAATTGCTAACATCGTCTGTGTTTCGCGACTTCTGTGACCAATATCCCCTTGAACCTATTGTATAATAGTTAAGCGAAGAATGCGGTGCAGTCACTAAAGTCCTTTTGCCTTGTAGATCCCTTATTGAGTCCTCTTCTGTAGCTACACGTCCTCCGTGTCTGCAATAACTATCTGCAGTCGTTCTATAGATGTAATTTTGTAAACGGTTTGACATTCCGGTTATATACAGTCCGGTATAAAGACTGTATTTACGCAGAAACGCCCAAATGTACGCAGCGCTAAAAAAAAGAACGAAAAGAAATTCATATAGAGTAAGGGTATGAATTTGTAGAAGGATTTACAGAAGATTAATCGAAGTGATAGTTAGGATAAAAGCGTTTAAGTAATAGAATATTAAACGGGACTCAAAAAAGTTGTTACTCTGTAAACGTCAAGTAGAGAGACGGAATAGGGATAAGTTAAGGACGACGATTTTTCAGAGAGTAAGGTGGATATCTTAAAAAGCCTGACATGGATACCGATGTGAATATGGAAGACGCCAACCGGCAATCACTTGATACGGTTCCGGTGTTAGAGGCCCATAAGATAAAGAAGGAAGAAGAGGAGCGGGAAAGTACCCAAAATGAAGAAGGACAGCAAGTCGGGCTGCTGGGAGGGCCAACAGATGTCAAGCAGCTGGTCGAGCTTTCTGAAGACAATCAACAAAATGTTTCATCCCCAGTACCTCTGGATTTGGCGAAGAGAGAGCATAAACGAAGGTATGACACTACTACCAAAGGTAAATACACCTTGAATGACTTTCAGATATTGAGGACTTTAGGAACTGGGTCATTTGGCAGAGTCCACCTAGCACGTTCTATACACAATGGTCGATTCTATGCCATGAAGACTTTAAAAAAGGAAAGAGTCGTCAACATGAAGCAAGTTGAGCATACGAACGATGAAAGGCGAATGCTAAGATTAGCACAGCATCCTTTTATAATAAGAATGTGGGGGACTTTTCAAGATTGCCGTAATTTGTTTATGATCATGGACTATATAGAAGGTGGAGAGTTGTTTTCTTTATTGAGAAAGTCTCAAAGGTTTCCAACCCCTGTTGCCAAATTCTATGCTGCTGAAGTTTTCCTTGCCATTGAGTACTTGCATAATTTGGATATCATCTATCGTGATTTAAAACCAGAGAATATCCTTTTAGATAAGAATGGACATATAAAATTAACTGATTTTGGCTTCGCTAAAGAAGTCAGTGATGTGACGTACACTCTTTGTGGTACTCCTGACTACATTGCTCCTGAAGTGGTAGCAACTAAACCATATAATAAATCAGTCGACTGGTGGTCTTTTGGAATATTGATCTTCGAAATGCTTACGGGCTACACCCCCTTTTATGACCCTACCCCTATGAAAACATATGAGAATATTTTGAATGGTACAATAACGTACCCTGATTATTTGCCACCTGATGTTTTGGATTTATTACAAAAATTAATTGTGAAAGACTTAACAAAGAGGTTGGGTAACTTGCAAGGAGGATCAGATGATGTTAAGAACCATCCTTGGTTTAAGGAAGTTATATGGGAGAGGTTACTATCTAGAGATATAGAGACCCCGTATGAACCTCCCATTACGTCAGGTGTCGGCGACACGTCACAGTTTGACCGCTATCCTGAGGACAAGGATTTAGACTATGGTATCAGTGGGGTAGAGGATCCATATCGACTGCTATTCCTGGATTTTTGAGTGGCAATTGCACAGTATTTGAAAAGAGTTCTAGTAATGCATTACATTTGTATAATAGTTAATTTATTATCCCCTTTTTTTTTATCATCCTTTGGATTTGGCTTTGGCTTTATAGTCAAGGAGCTCCCTTTTATTTTACCCTTGATAACTCAAATTTTAACGTCAGGGTACAAAAATTTTCAGAGAAGAAAAGAGAGACAACGAATATTATATCTTCTACTTTAAAGTATATATAAAATAAATGAAAAAAGTTATTGATGACTGGAATAAAATTATTTCTAGCATAACTAAATGAATAATTCTTTTCAATTTTCGTAAGTTAATCTTAATCCAGTATCTTGTAACTTATTTAATTCAGGTACAACTATCAACTCCAATCATCCAATCTCCCTTCAAAAATTGATCGACTGAAAGCCTTTTAGTCGGAACAGTATCCAACAACTTATATATGAACAATTTTCTCAATTCGTTCAATTCGTCCTCGTTGGATATTTCATCCGAGTGTCCATGCAAATGCTCAGTATTTTTATAAGTATGAGACTTCCTTAAGAGTTTGTCATGTGGAAGAGTCAAAAAGATTTCTTCAATAGGTTTGAAAGTTCCCTCTCTTTTAATGGTCCATTCTTTAGTGTGAGGGTCGTAATCTGAATTCGTGCGAGTCCTAACGTATTCATCAAATACTTTATCTTTATATTTTACCACTTTATCCTTTCCTATCGATTTAAATTCGGTCGTCTTCCATAAATAGCCAGAGCTATAAGAGTCAAGGACTCGTCCATCGTCATCCTCTTCATTGGGATTTTCAGTACGACTGGCGTCATTGTGTGTTTTGATTCCATATTTATGATGTCTGATGTTGAAAAGTATGAGTGCAATTATCCCTAATGCCCAACAATCTTTGGCTTGCAACGAATACCCCATATTCTTATACTGGGATAAACTACCTCGATATTCCTCTGGGGCTATATAAGGTGCTGAACCAATTGGACCGGCTGCATATGGGAAAAGTTCTTCCTTCTCGTCCCACGAGGTACGAAATACATTAGATTTTCCGAAGTCAGAAATCTTAAGAACAATCTTCGTTCTGGTCAGATCCTGCTCCGGAGGAAGGTAACTTATTAAAATATTTTCGAGTTTTAAGTCACAATGAGCAACTCCATGATTATGCATGTATTTCAATCCTTTGGCAATTTGCTTCACGAAGCAATCAAGATCTTCTTGAGGAATATAGGAGATTCTGTGTCCCGATTTATCATTAGCGTTGTTTGCATAAGAAAACAAATCACTTCCTGATGAGCACTCCATTACCTGACTGAGTTTGTAGTTATTAGTGGGACATCCCAAGCTGATCATCAAATCAACACTTTTTACAATATGTTTATTGTTTAAAGTCGAAGAAATGATAAATTCCGAAAGAACCCTTTCAATGAAAGCTTTCGGCCCTTCCTTTTTAGCGTCTCCCTGCCGTTTCATGAGTTCTTTAACTGCATATATTTCATTTCCATAATATGGTGGTGATTTCTTATCCGGGTGAGGATCAACAACTTTAATCAAACCATACGCACCTCTTCCAATAACATCTCTAACTGCACCATACCTATCGAAAAGAGTCTTAGACCCTACAACATACTCTTTCTGCTTCCCCAAATCATTCTGTGCATTTACTAAGGTCAAAAATTTTGCTTTTAGCTTCTCGATTAGTATAACCTGTTCTTGGCCAATAACAGATTCGAATAAGCGTGGGTCGTTTTTTTTCGTGGAAGATGAGAGTCTATGTATCTTGACATTATTATCGAGTAAAGAATAAGTTTTTTTCAGCTCTTCATTTGCTATTTCATGTAGATTGCTGGTGCTCGTTGAAAGTCCGCAATAAGAAATAATATTAGAGAGTTGCGACTGCAAATATGCTGAAGGTTTGCTTCTCTCTTTTATGTAATGCAAATGTGAATAATCAAGTTCCGAATCCTCCCCTGTCTCTTCTTCTTCTTCCTCATCGGATATTGACTTCAGCAGTGTGTCTGATTCGGAATACGTCTCTGCATCAGAATCGCTCTCGGAGGAACTTTCTCCAGAATCAGAGTCTGCGATTGTTGAGACTCGCTTACCTTTATGTTGTACCCTTTCTTGTATCTGAAGACTGGATAAGCTAGGGACAAGGTTATCCAGATGGCTCTTGTTGCCGGTTTTGAACATCGCCTTCCACTTTCCCAGTTTACCTGTGCCTTGTGTGTCATCAGGTTTTCGAGAGCTAACCAGATTTGGGGTAAGAAGCCCATCGTCCTCCTTCTTTTTGAATAGTGGCATACGAACTTTGTAATTGTGATGGACCTTATAAGTATTCGTTTTTTTATTTGATTTTGCAGTGCCTTGAAAGCCGATCAAACACAGTTCATGTAGATGCATTTTTTAGCATGCCATCAAGCTCAAGCTTAGCAATACTGCATGTAAATGAGTCTCACGACATTTTGAAAATGGCCCCACAGTGATGTTCTCGCACATGGAGAATATTTCGACGTCAGATTTATTTTTTACTCTCATCCATTGAAGTCCTGATTCCTAGCGAACAGCTTATATGGTCGACAAGTTACATATAATAAATTTTATTATTTTCTTTCTTTCTTTCTTTCTTTCTTTCTTTAATAGCTACAGCCTACAACTTATACTTTTATGATGTTTTAGTTTCGCTTTACATGTTTGTCAATAGCTTTATCGTCTGAAGAGCAGGCCTATGAAATTACTAACTTATCAGATGTCTCCATGACAAAATTAAAGTCTACAACTACGTCTCTCTCTTATTCGTATATCGACTTAGATAAATATGAAGGTAACAATATGGCTATAACTCAACGGATGGACGCCACATGGTGCTTTAATAACAGGGACAATTGGAACACGTGTGTAACGACAGTGGGAACAATAAGTGCTATAGCTCTAGGGATGGCACAAGTGCTCAAGAAAGAATCGGACGACAGCCAGTGCGCAAATCAGAATGTCTATAATTGTTTTGAGACTCTTTTTGAGACTCTTTTTTCTCTTTGTCAAAGATCACTTCATCTGAAGAACTCGTCTCGTCATTTTCGCTGCTTCTCGAATGATTGGTACTCCCTTCTCTCATGTCTTCTTGCCGAGTGTCAACATATGCTCTAAAAATGTCATCCAATGCCTCAAAATCTCTTCTTTTACACTTTTCCTTACATGGGAAAACTGATAATCCAAAGTCTATTAAGGAGATTTTACCACTTACCGAAACATGAATATTAGCCGCCCTGACATCATTATGGCAAATCCCCAAAAGATGAATCTCCTCGAGTCTCGATTTAATTACTCCATATACCTTCTTGTAATCCCATTTAGACATCGATAATTCTTCTCCTAGATCCTCAAATATATGCATTGGTTGACTTGGTACCCCATTTAAATATCCTGATATAATGAGTTTTGGAAAATGTGATGCAAATTGAGACTTTGCGAGTATTTTATTAATCTCTAGTTCATTAACAAACATGTCATAATAGCTATCTTTCTCGGGGAAGTTTTCGAATGCCAGGTCAGGATAGTTGTACAATTTAACAAACACATCAGTGGGAAGTATCGATCTTAGACTGGGGTAGCATTTGCTTGCATCGTAGACTCTGCGACAGCATGTATTACCATGGATTTCATCAAAATCATCGTAATCGATATTTTCTTCAATGGGCTTCAATTCGCGTCTGAGTTCACTTCCAGATAGTTTACTACGCTTACGATCCTGGGAAGGTTCTTCTACAGGTCTAGGAACTACGTTATAAAACGGGTCTTTCCCTTTTGTTTTAGTCCCTACCTCAAGCGCTTTCGCTAGTCGCTCCTTTGAATCAAGTGCCTCTTTTCTCTCTTCGTAGAAAAATCCTGCAATTGCAGACCTTAAAGTAATTCCATGTTCCACAGTCTCAGGATCGTTAATAACGTAGTAGTTTATTACCATAATTCCATCGTTTGCAATATTATACCTAAAAAATCCAGAAAACGATTGATGGTCTGAAATGAATACTCTATCTGTTCCACAGAGGAAAGCTTGATAAATATATTTCCTTAGCACTAAAGCGCATACCACTCTGGGTGTCCATTCTCGGTCTTGAAATATAGCATGCGTCGAGTGCAGTCTCAAGCTTCTCTGATCTGACAAGCTCTTATTGTGTTCTTTTAACGTTGCTTTCAATTCTTCAAACCCTCGTGCTAGATAATAATTCTTCTTTTTGTAATCACCTATCCCAAAACAGATTTCCGGATTTTGCCGATTAGGAGACAGTTTATTCATTACAAAATGAATGATATCTGGCTTTATTATACGTCTTCTATCTAAAGGTGGCCTTATGATAGTTGGCTTGCCAAAATAATGGTTCCTATCACAAATGTCACAAAAAAAGTAATGTAGCGTTCGAGCTATTTCTGTTTCAAAATATCGCTGGATATCACCTTCCACATTTGTAGCATCTCCAAATGGATATCTATAATCCTGCGA